GTGATCCGCCTGCCTCGGCCTCCCAAAGTGCTGGGATTACAGGCGTGAGCCATGTGCCTGGCCAAAACAGAAAAATTTTAAAGCTTTTTAATCAATTTACTTGAAGTTGGCCATGATGAACATATTGCTTATGATCAACATCTGAAGAGCATCGCAGGATTAGCTCTGCCCTGTGGACATCCTGAGATGGGCCCTAAAGTAAAGCATCAGTTTCTTCCAGACAATAAAAGAACCCAGAGAAGATAACACTTGGAAATGAACATGTTTCCCTTGGTTTATAAACACCTGAATTTAAAAGCCATGAAGTCAGAAGATGCACGTGTGGGCAAAAAGCTCCTGAAGACACTCAACACCATCCGTCACCAAGAGAATGTAAATCAAACCCACTGTGGGATCCTGCCTCACATCCACTAGGACGGCTAGGATCCACAGGATAGAAAACAGCCGGGCGCGGTGGCTCACCCGCAACCCCAGCACACTGGGGGGCCCAGGTGCAGGCGCTGGTACTGGCCTGGGCAACACGATGACACCCCACCTCTATTTTTAAAATAAATCTTTTTTTTTTTTTTTTGAGACAGAGTCTGGCTCTGTCGCCCAGGCTGGAGTGCAGTGGCGCGATCTCGGCTCACTGCAAGCTCCGCCCCCCGGGTTCACGCCATTCTCCTGCCTCAGCCTCCCGAGTAGCTGGGACTACAGGCGCCCGCCACCATGCCCGGGTAACCTTTTGTATTTTTTTTAGTAGAGATGGGGTTTCACCGTGTTAGCCAGGGTGGTTTCGATCTCCTGACCTCGTGATCCGCCCGCCTCAGCCTCCCAAAGTGCTGGAATTACAGGCGTGAGCCACCACGCCCAGCCAAAATAAAATTTTTTTAAATAAAAAAATAAAGTTTTAAAAAATATGCAATAAGAGTATTCTTAATAAAAAACTGGACAGAAAATAGCAAGTGCTGGTGCAGATGTGGAGAAATCAGAACTTTCCGTGCACAGCTGGTGGGCATGGGAGGCAGTTTGGTGGCTCCTTACCAGGTTAGACACAGAATGACCACACGACCCAGCAAGGCCACTTCTAGGGAGGCACCCAAGAGAACTGAATGTTCACAGCAGCATTATTCCCAACAGCCCAAAGGCAGAAACCATCCAAATGTCCATTGAACTGACAAATGCCTACAGCGGCCTGTCCCCCACCAACGAGCTCTTCCCACGGAAAGGAATGAAGTGCGTATGCCCCAGCACGAGGGACTCTGAAACATGACACAGAGGGAAAGAAACCAGGCACGAAAGGACACATCCTGTAGGATCCCGCTGAAGCGAAACGTCCAGAACAGGCAAAGGCATGGAGGCAGAAAGTGGGTGCTGGGCCGGGGACAGGAAGTGACTGTTTCCTCTGAGGTGATGAAGGCATTCTGGAACAAATGATGATGCTCGCACAACATTCTTAATGTGCTTAATGCACTGAACTGTATACTTTGTATACTTTATAAGCTTTCACCTACCATTTATGTGTATCATAACTTACTGAACGTTTAAAAAAATAAAAAAAGGGCTGGATGCCGTGGCTTCACACCTGAATCCAGTACTTGGGAGCTGAGGCGGGGATCACGAGGTCAGAGATCGAGGCCCATCCCTGGCTGACACGGTGGAAACCCCGTCCTCCTACAAAAATGACAAAAAAATTAGTCCAAGGCGTGTAGTGGTGGGGCACTGTAGGTCCCAGGCTAGTCCGGGAAGGCTGAGCAGGCAGATGGGCGTGAACCTGGGAAAGCGGAGCTTTGCCAGGTGACTGAGATCCGGCCACCTGGCCAGCTCCACCCCGGGTGACAGGAAAGCGGAGACTCCCATCTCAAAAAAATAAATAAATAAAATAAAATAAATAATAAAAAAAAGAAAAGCTAGTTTGTGGTTTTTTGAACATGTCTGGCTCATGTCATCCAGGCTGGAGTGCATGCGTGTGATCTTAGCCTTCACCTGCAACCTCTGCTTCCCAGTGTCAAGCAATTCCCCTGCTCAGCCTCCTTCAGGTAGCTGGATTACAGGCACCTGGCCAACCATGGCCCGGCTAATTTTTTGTATTTTTGATTTTTTTTATTCTTTTTTTTTTTTTTTTTGAGAATGTTAGTCTTGCTCGTGTCGCCTAGGCTGGAGTGGCCAGGTGGCACAATCTCGGCCTCACTGCAAGCGTCCGCTCCGTGTTTCCACGCCATTCTCCGCCTCAGCCGTCCCGAGGTAGCTGGACCTACAGGCGGGCCCGCCCTGCCCGGCCGGTAAATTTTTTCTATTTTTTAGGTAGAGACGGGGTTTCACCATGGTCCTCGATCTCCTGACCTTGTATCCCGCGCCTCGGCCTCCCAAAGTGCTGGATTACAGGCGTGACCACCGCCGTCCGCCAATTTTTGTATTTTTAGTAGACAAGGGGTTTCACTGTGCTGGTCAGGCTGGTTTTGAACTCCTGCAGGCCTCAAATGATCCGCCCGCCTCAGCCTCCCGAAGTGCTGGGATTACCAGCGTGAGCCACCATATCTGGCCTTCCTTCATTTACTATTTATTGACTTCCCCTAAAATATAAAGGGTTATAATCTGTTCAGACAGCAAAGGTGCTGTCTTACCAGGGAAATTTTCCATACTTTTCGTTGACTGACTATGTCTTGGTGGTTCAAGAAAACAAAGCTTCCCACACTTAGGAGAGAGGTAAGTTTCTCTATGACTGTTCTCTCCCATGTTTAAGCATTTTGTGACTTTCACGTGGGTAGCTAAATATTATTTCTCAGGTACTCATGAGTCTTAATGTTCAAATCTCCTGACATCTTTTTATTTTTTTTTCTTCTCAAAATTGAATTCTAAATGTTAAATAAAATAAAGCTTTTAGGAAACTTTTTTTTTTTGAGATGGAGTCTCACTCTGTCGCCAGGCTGGAGTGCAGTGGCGCAATCTCGGCTCACTGCAACCTCCCTGGTTCAATTGATTCTCCTGCCTCAGCCTCCCAGATAGCTGGGATTACAGGCACCCGCCACCACGCCTGGCTAATTTTTGTATTTTTAGTAGAGAGGGGCGTTTCACCATGTTGGCCAGGATGGTCTTCATCTCTTGACCTCGTGATCCACATCCAGCTGCCTTGGCCTCCCAAAGTGCTGGGATTACAGGTGTGAGCCACCACGCCCGGCCCCAGGAGAGCCTTTATATTTAAAATGATCTATGTGATGTCCCAGAAGTTCCCCGGAAAATCAAAAATTTTTTTTCTTATAAAAAGAGAGATATTTGAAATAATTAGGTACAAGGTGGGGTGTGGTGGCACGTGCCTGTGGGTCCCAGCTACTCGGGAGCCTGAGGCAGGAGGATCTCGTGAGCCCAGGAGGTCGAGGTTGCAGTGAGCTGTGATCACACCACTGCCCTCCAGCCTGCATGACAGAGGTCTCTATCAAAAAAAAAAAAAAAAAGAAAAGAAGAAAGAAAAAAGTAAAGAAAAAGATGTTAGAGGAAAAAGGATTAGTTCTTTATGTGTTAGGCATGAGAGTACCAGGGGGGGGGGAAAGAACTGCCTGAAGTCCGGGAAGAAATGCGTGCCTGCCTGGCCTGGTGTGTGTCAGGTAACCCCGTTGGTCCTGAAGCACTGAGAATTGTGCACGTGCTGCACAGAGACGTCCCGCTTGCCCCACCGGCGCTTCTCTTCATCAGAGGTCCCCGAGGCCCATTTGCCTGAATGCTGTAGCCGCACAGTCCGGAGCCAAACTGGC